AGTTCAGGGTGTACACTCCTGTCTGTAATGATGCTATTAATGACCAGTTTGCTTATGCTTTCTGTCGAAGAATTAATTACAATTCTTGTAAGTTGTATTATGCAATCTCTCCTTATCATAACTGGTTCCTATTATCTTATTGTACAGACCCAGTCTATGAGTTATTAATAGGAACAGAGAGTGACTACAGTGTTTACAATACTACTAGTGTCATTACAAACATCACTTGTAGCTATTCTTCACTTTCTGGCTGCACATATACAACTGATTCAACCAATTGTTCTAGTTATGGTGGAGTAGCTATCTTCTCTTGCAGAGAAAGTATGTTTGAATGTAGATTAACAATTAATGATACTTGCCTGTAGATGTCACTACTAGTACATCAGAATGCAGTGATGGTAACTCAGTAAGACTGTTGAACTACACTAGAGTTTATAACTATTATGCTGATTTTGAACGAGTATCCAGTGGTCGTGTATCTGGTTGTGTGAATTCTCAATATGTTGACATTTGTGCTGATGGTAGTTCTGATCTTGAGGCTATTGCTCAGAGGGCATGTAATTACAGGGACTATAGTGAGTAAACTATAACTAGTATTATAAATATTTACATCATTAAATCTTATTTACAGATTCAAGAGCTACAATAATACCATGGACATCTGACTACTCCATGAGTTCCAGTGGTATTGTTTTACGTAATGTCAGCTGTGGTAGCGATGTATATTCACTTCAAGGCTGTACCTATGAAATATCTAATATAACAGAGTGTCCATCTGGTATACTAGCAGTCACTTGTGAAACCGGTAAGTAGCTTACCTAACAATACCTGTCCATTTAATATTTTTCAGCCTGTAGTAATGGTCAAGCTAGAATGGTTAATGAAAGGGTTGAGTATACTTCTAATGGCAGTGCTAGAGTGTCTGGTAGATTAGAGATTTGTATTAATCGTGATTGGGCATCTGTTTGTGATGATGACACACTCAGTGAACCACTGGCTGATATTGCCTGTAATTCAATAGGCAATGAATTCAATAGTAAATTGACATGATTGCTTCTGTCTTTTATATCTATCATTACTTTACTGTGCCTTCTCTTTCAGGCGGAGTTTTCTTACCATCTAATACATCATTGTATGGATCCAATGATAGAGTATACACTAACTTTACCTGTCAATATGGTTATGGGAGTTCATCAATATATGATTGTATAAATGATGCTAGATCAGCTAACGATAGCATAGAGTGTGCCAGTAACAATGCTGTTATACAGTGTTTTAGACCATGTGAGTTATTCATTTAATTTTAGTGATACTACATAAGTCGTGTTTCATAAAATGATTGTGAATTGTGATATCATTAAAACACTTTCCATTTTAATGTAGCTCGTAGCTGTTATTCATCATATCAGAGTTTATACTATTCTTCATTTATCACTACTACTGATGGTCGTTCTGGTTTCATTGGTAGACTATCTACATGTATCAATATGCAAGAAGCAGTATACTGCAATAACACTCTAAGTGAGCTTCATAATGTTAATAGTATTATTACTATTATTATTATTATTATTATTATTATTATTATTATTATTATTATTATTATTATTCTATGTTCACAGCTTCTACTA